AGGGCTCCATTCAGTTGGCGTTTGGACCCACGTCTTGAACTTTACCAGGTCCTCAGCAGTACAGCAGTTGTCAGTTTCAGAAGCTTTTTTTGAAAAAATTTTTGTTATTTCTGATAAAGATAGCATGTTTTTGAATTTTTTTCTAAGGCATACCAGCAGCATTTTCCTTGTGCAAATTTAAAAAAACGAATCTACCCTTGCCCTTCCTGCTCCATTACCGCCCCCCACCCCAAACCCTGCATCTGTTTTAAACAGATGTTGTTTAATTCTTTCCAGAAAGAGGGGGAGGGAAGGTGGAAAGGGAGTTTTCCTCCTTTATACCTTTTTGGTAGTAGAGTTCATTGTCATTTCTGTTCTGGGTGGGGTGAGGTGCCTGAGTAACGTAAATATACCACAGATAGGAAGCATTTGGCAGGCGGCCATGCAGCTGGATTATCCAGACATCCTCTGCAACTTCTAGTGCAACACTTTATCCCCCTGCCTTGTTTTAAATAGCCGGATGCCTCAGTTAATGCTGGCTGTCGGGTTGTTTGTTGCCGAGGAGACGAAGGGGGCTTCTGCCCCTTGAGCCCCCACCCCGCACAGAAAAGTCTGCCTTCAGGAAGGCCTTGGTGGAAGGAATTGAGGCAGGAGAAAGGATGCCACAGAGGGCTAGCAAAGGCCAGAGTTAACTAACAGCCCTTGAAGTCTGGAAGCAGAGGGTAGGATATTTTTTAAAATCTCTGATAAATGAGTGCTTGTTTTGGAAGTAAGGTTATGGCACTAACATAAATAATGGAGACTTCCATTTTTCATGTTTACTTAATCCCCCCAAAGAAAAGGAGACTAGCACACAGCTGCCACACAAACAAAGTAAAAGCATTTTTAACAGGAGGTGTGTAGAGTTTCAGTTCTTCACCTTGGCCATTTCCTGTTGAGATGAGCCCACAGGACACTCACAGAAGATCTGAGAAAGCTGTGTTGCACACTGGAGAATTACAAATCCTGGGGCCCCTTAGTTTTTCTGATGTAAACAAGGTATAGGAAAGAAAAATGATGGCTATTCTCTAAAGTTGTATGCGGTTTATCTAAATAAATGTTATAAAATGTTCTTAATCTCTAGGATCTAAAGGAATACGCATGAATATGAAATGAGTGGATTAGTGATATATGTGCGTGTGCATCCTGTGATTTTTGTATGTACTTGTATATATGGAACCTGTGATTTTTATTCAATTTTCCCATTAATGGGAAAGAAATCTTTACTGTTATTGCAATTACGCTATTGTGGTTCATAAGCAAATGAGTATTGAACACTATATTTTTACAGGGAATCTGTTAGCTGCAAATATATTTTCAAAAACGTATTTCTATTGCATATTGAATCCATTCATTCCACAACCTGTTACATGTAAGACACCATTCTAGGCTCTAGGGATGTAGCAGTGAACAAAAAGAGCAAAGTCCCTGCTCTTGTGGAATTTATATCCTAATAGGTAAACAGATGTGTCATAGGGCAAGCATTGATTTACTAGCATGTGGAAAGACCAGTCAGGGTGAGAAGATTTAAGAGGGGTGGCTTTACATAGAGTGGACAGGGAAGTCGTCTATTAATATGATGAAATAACCTTGGGCAGAGACCTGAATGAAATAAAAGAATGAGCCTATTTGGCATATGGGGGAAGGTTGGGGAGTAGGGTTTTAAATAGAAGAGATAGCAAGTGCAAAGGCCCTGCAGTAGGAGTGTGGTTAATGAGCAGGGCCATCAAGGAGTCATGGCACTAAAGTAGAATGAGCAAGAAGGAGAGTAGTAGGGTAAGGCCAGATTTTGGCTTTTACTTAGAGTAATATAGGGTACTAGTGGAGGGTTTGTTTGAGTAGAGTGTGGTGATCTGACTTACTGTTCCGTTTTCAGAGAAAGTTGGGCAAATATGGAAGTAAGGATACCAGTTGGGAGGCTATTGCAGTAATCGCAGTGGAAGGTGATGGCAGCTAGGTCAGGTCAGTGATGATGGAGGTGGTAAAAAGTAGATTCTGAATATATTTTAAAGAGAGAATCAGAAGGATGGGAAGGTGTTGGAATCAAGAATTCAATCTGAAACATATTGATTGAGATGCCTATTAGATGCTCAAGGAGAAAAATCACATAGGCCCTTGGTCTTACTGGTCTGAAGCTGGGGAAGAAATCTGTTTGGAAATGTCAGTTTGGGCACTGTTAGCGTACAGAAGGTATTTAAGTAGAGGAGTAGGCCCCAGCTTGGATCGCGGATGGTTTAGCCATGGTTACAGGAGGAAAGGCAGAGAGGGTACTAGTACAAAGTAGTAGGCACGGTGGTAGGCACAGGTGCAAGGTCTCTTCTGATTGTGTCTACTTTCTCAGTGATGTTAAAGTAAGCCCATCCATCATCTGAGAGCAAGGGGTAGGAGGCTCTGTGAAATAGTCTTCGTGGGGACAGATCAGGGAAATGTAGCAAGATGCCAGGTGGCACCTAAGGACCCACTTGAGGTTAGTGTTCGTGACTTTAAAACAAGGCCTCTAAGCATAGCAGAGTGGAGTTTTTCCCTCTTACCATGTTCAGCGGCCTGGGTGGGATCATGGAGTAGGTAGATATAGGATTTAACCGGGTTGGGATTGTGCCAGGCAATGACAGTGAGGAAAGAGAGGGCAAAGGCGTTAAGATTGTGTGCAGAGAGATTGTGATAGACTGTGGAACTTAGGTTGGGTAGAGAATCAAGGGAGGGCATGAGGGGCTCTGGGGTACAGGGTTAAAGTGGTCAGAACCAATAGATTGTTGGTCCCAGTGGGGTGAAGAATTATTGGAGTCTAGAGGGAGGGAGCTGCAAAGTGAGGAGATGGTGGTTGGAGAGCAGGATGCTTAAAATTGAGATGAGGCCAGGCACTGTGGCTCATGCCTGTAGTCCCAGCACTTTGGGAGACCAAGGCAGGAGGATTGCTTGAGCCTGGGAGTTCAAGACCAGCCTGGACAACATAGTGAGTCACTCTACAAAAAAATTTAAAAAATCAGCCTGGCGTGATGGTGCACATCTATAGTCTTAGCTACTTGGGAGGCTGAGGCGGGAGGATAACTTGAGCCCAGGAGTTCAAGGTTACAGTAATCTATGATGGCACCACTCCACTCGAGCCTGGGTGACAGGGCAAGACCCTATCTCTAAAAAAATAAAATAAAATTGAGGTGGTGCAGATATTGGTAATGACAAAGTCAAGGGTTGACCTGGACATGAATGGGTATGGTTAGGTATGTAAGACAAGGGCAGTGGAGGAGAAGAGTCCCAGAAACTGAGAGGCCAGGGAATTGGAAGGATCTTCAGAGTCAATAACGAAATTATCAAGAATCATGACAGGCATCATGGTGGAGAGATGGAGGGACAGTAAACCCAGTTGCTAAGGTCTTCAAGGAATGAGGGCGGTGACCCCGAGGTCTGTAGAGATTGAAGAAAGGTTGTGAGGGGCAGGGACAGGTGTATGAGCTTAGAGGAACTGGAACCAAAGGGAGGGTGGATAGGCTGCAGCCTTGGTGAGCGCCCTGCCCCACGTCTAGGGCCAGCAGGCAGAGATATGGGAGAGAGAAAACAGCCTCCTGAGAAAGGGCCATGGAGGAAGGCCACGGAGGCTCAGCCGAAAGCGCATTTCCTTTTAGGTTAGGAAGGTGAAAGGAGCGTATATGAGGTAGCTAAGTAGTCAAAGTCACAGGGATAGAAAGTAGAATGGTGGGGGGAGCAGGGAATAGGAGTTAGTGTTCAGTGGGTACAGAGTTTCAGTTTGGGATGATGAAAAAGTTCAGGTGGATGGGGGTGATGGTTGCACAATGATGTGGGTGCAGTTACTAATAACGCCACTGAACTCATACCTTAAAAATGGTTAAGATGGTAAATTTTATGTTGTTTATATTTGCCTCAATAAAAAAATGAAAGGAATGATCAGAGGAGAGGATGAGGAAGTAAGGGGAATGGTGGACCTTGGGGAGGATGACAAGGAAAGGGAGCTGGGTCACAGAGGGTGAGCTGTTGGGGTCGCGGAAAGTCCAGTGACTTTGCCTTTGTGTGTGAGTGAGGTGAGCAGGGATGTGGGGCAGAGGGACTGTCTCCATGGTCTCTGGCAGATCTTGGTGGCCAGGCTCTGAGCACTGGGGACAGTCACCCCTGAAGGATTCTATGTTGCTCTGCGTCTTTGCTTCCCTAGAATCTGGCACAGTGCCTGGCGTATACAAGACGTGAGTATATGTTTGAATGAGTAAAACATGAATTCTTTCCAAAGAAAGAAAACAGCAAGTGAGAATGTAATGGCCTTGCTGAAAATCAAATAGTACTTCCCCTAAAAGTGACGAAGAATGAAAAGAAGCTAGAGTTGGTCTCTAGAGGAAAAAGAGGATTTTTGACAAATGTGCAAAAGAATTTATTGCGAAATTGAAGTTTTAGACTGGAAAAAAATAAAATCATAAACAGAAGGCTACAAATGTGTAAAGGGTTATTTGAATTGAAATATTTTCCCACCTATATAAATGATTTCATGGTGAATTTGTGATTTGAAGTGGATAATCCTATTTTGTGCTAAATAAGACTATTAGCTTTATAAAATGTTAAGACTTGGTCATTCATTGTCAACTAAGTTTAAAGGATTGAAACCATAATACCATCTTAAATTAATAGGTTTGTATCTTTCCAACCTGTAGAGACTGTAATTGCAGAGATCAGCTTATTTGTTTTATTATTAATACTTATACCCTGAAACTGGAGAATATTATAGCTGCATACATCTTCAAAGGCTCACAAGTGTTTTTTAATTACTAGGTATCTTTTTAAAAAATGTACTTTTATATTGAGTTTAAGTGTCTTGCTGTTTCCCTAAAAGTTGATGGGCTACCTTTTAAGTTTGCTGCCAGGCATAGATTTTCTTTTGACAAGTCCAGAAAAGTGCTGGCTGGTGGTCAACTTGAATTGTGAAACATGTTCTGCAGCTACCAGACCATTGTCATACCCCATTCTTCTTGTTGTCGTTCTAGTGACAGCTATATTGTGCGTGTCAAGGCTGTGGTTATGACCAGAGATGACTCCAGCGGGGGATGGTTCCCACAGGAAGGAGGCGGGATCAGTCGCGTTGGGGTCTGTAAGGTCATGCACCCCGAAGGCAATGGACGAAGCGGCTTTCTCATCCATGGTGAACGACAGAAAGACAAACTGGTAATGGCAGACATACAACACGTGGGTTAAATTAGCAACAACTGATTTCTTTACGTTAAATCATAGCCCTCTTCCCTTAGGTATTTTTTTCTTCCTTTTCTGACTTCAAACTCTTGCAAAAGCTTCAAAAGTTAGAACTGTGGAGCTGGTGCCAAATTGCAAAACACGACCCTCCCTTTCCAGCAAAGTCTCTTTTGACCACACACGATATAACTTAGATGCTTAGTAGTATATTTGGCTGTCTTGTTTGCGTCATTGATTAATTAAGATGTCTTTCTGTCATTGTAACAAGGTAGTCAAAACAAAAGTGTGTCTTCTATTATTATGAATCACAGTAGTACTGAGCTGTGAAGTCAGAGTTTTTTCAATGTGGAGTTTATCATGGAACATGTCACTGAGGTTTGGGTGGTGGAAGGTAAAAATGCAAAGGCAGGGTGTCATCTCACATTTGGCTACTTCTAAGTAAATGTTTGTCTGAAAGATACTGTAGCTTTTATTTCATAAGCTAATGAACATGTTTGGAAAAAGAAAGTAACAAAAAGTAGTGATACCACATTTCTATAGTCATACATGCTTATACATAAATACTTTGGAGAGTAATCTTTAGTTCAAAATGTGGTCTTATGAAGGAACTTGAATGTCCAGTTCTATGTTATGAAGGAATCTATATGATAGGAAGGGAAGTTGAATGTCCAAATCTATTTTAAATTAATGGCCCTAAACACAGAAGAACACTACTTCTGTGTTTGATCATAAAGTGTATACTCCAAAGCCAACAGATGATTCAGAATGTGCAGGATTGTACAGGATCTCACAGAGAAAATGCAAAGATACCATAAGAATATATCAGTGTTAACATTTGAGACCGTTTACAGCGGCATCTGTTGAATTTTATATGTTAAGTGTACAAATTTAATCTTCTTTTGCAACCACTTATAGTTTAAAAAGTTACAAAATAGATAAGACAGAGCAATTTGTAAATGCTATATATGGATTAACAGAAATGCTGTTTTCACACTTGATTCATTTCCGAAAATTTAAAGAGGAAATATAGCAAATTTTAAGAAGTATCTATTCAGGAAATTCCCTGCATAATAGTCAAATAATTAAAACATTCTTGTTTATAACATTTTTCCAATAAAGGCAATTTAACCATATTACCAATAAAAGGGAAAATGACTATCATTTATCTAGCATTTATCATGTGCTAAGTACAACGCCAGCCCTTTGGTTGAGCTGTATGTATCATTGTATCCTTACAGCAGCCTGTATAATTGTAATTGAAGAAATTAAAATTCAGAAAGATTCCTTGTTCTTGGTGTGACCCATTTATGGGGGCCTGAAACTAGTATTTGATACTCTATTACTCTGACTCCAAAAATGAATCAGAATCACACATACACAACCACCGTTAGCCTTTGATGTAGGTATTTTCCCCCTTGTACTTTTTTTTTTTTTTTTTTTTTAATTTTTAGAGATCGAATCTCACTATATTGCCCAGGCTGGCTGCAAACTCCTGGGCTCAAGTGATCCTCCCTTCTCAGTCTCCCAAGTAGCTGGGATTACAGGCTCATGCACTGCACCCAACCATATTTTTATTTTTACATAACTATAATCAGTTTGTAAATAGTTTTATATCTCATTTGTTTTGCCCTATCATGCTCATAAGAAATTTTCTATGTTGCTGATACCAGTTTGATGTTTCATTGTTTGGCTATCTCCTTAGTGTCAAATATTAAGGTTCTTTCCTCCTCCCCGCATCCTCAGTATTATGAATAGACACCT